GTTCAACCTGGGCGATTCCGTGCAGTCAACTATACTAACTTTGAGAGAGAACTGCAAGCGATTCAGATGGTCGCTCCGTTCAAACGAAAAAATGTTTCATCACGTAGATAAGATATCCAAATTGTTCTATCAGACTTTCAAGTCAGGACCTTGTTATCTCTATTACTGCTGGAAAGATGTGAATAAAAGATATGTAATTATAGAAGCTTGACTTTGCCTTCTCAAAAAAGTCTTAGACAACAGGTATCAATGATACTGCATATGTGCTAACGTAAAATTATTTATTATTTTAACTACAATCTACCTGGTTCTTCAGTTTTTTAAAAGCTCCGGTAATGACATAGAGGATAAGTGGTAGCTAGACGAATTCGACTCCGAGAAAGCCTTAGATGTTCCTATACATGAAGTAAGGCACAAACAAGCGTTACCGATTCTATCAGGAAAACCACAACGGATTTCCCACTAAGCCGTCGCCAGACGGATTACGGTACGCGTCAGCACAAGCCCCTTGATGTGAGACTGGAGCTGGACACGGCGCCTATTTGTAGAGCGATTCCGGTAGCTGTCATCAAACTGCAACTATATTCAGACTGTATTCACCGGAACTCTCATCGTGAGTGTTAAGTGGTCACACTGGCCGCACACGACCACTCTCGATGGACTGGTGGTCGACGCGGTCATTTGGCTCGGCGAGTTATTGATGCCGATGTTTGCTTGTTCACACCACTTAGCACCCACACCTCTCGTATGGAATGTAGCATATGCGCGGTTGAGAGAGCACAGTCAGCAGCGGAGACCGACCAGTGAAAGATGTTTTTGAGCGGGTCGAGATGGTACACGACTCACAAACACACGAACACCTATATATGCGCTCGACGAGTTCGTTCGACAACTCTGCTCACACCGCCAGCAGCAATATGAGAACTGTCGCAGCTGTTCTGGCTGTCGTCTGCTACGTATACGCTCAGCAAGCACCATTCGCTCTTCCAAGACTTCCGAAGGTGAGCTTGTTGAAAGATCGAAATTCGCTTCTTCAGGTAAAAGTGGAAGGATCGAAACCGAAACGGTGATCTGTAAATTGTTGTACAGTACATAATTCGATTTCGTTTTCCGAATCTGTTGAGCGGCTATTCTAAAAGAGTCATGGAGGGTTTTCTCTGGCAGTCTGCCAGACTCTAGATAGTATAATTGCCGCTATATCCTGCGTTGCTATTCGGCGCAGTGTGCAGTGCCCTTAACCGCGGAGCGGGACATAGTAGGTTCGGATTACCTAAGATGCGATCCTGGCACAGCATGTATAACTT